GCCCCCTCCTCGGGCTGAGCCCTCTGACACTGCGGCCACCCGCCGATACCAGCCGCCTCGGTCCCAGCCGAGCCATCCTCCGGGCAGCGGGGGCCCCGGGGCCCGTGGCCGCCAAGGCGCCAAGAAGAAGAAGAAGCGGGGTGCTGCCCGCACCCCCGCTAACGCGGTTCTCGCACCCGCATCTTCGGGCGCGCTCATCTCTGAGGCCCCCCGTGACCTTCCTCCGTGCTTCAACTGTGGTGAGGCTGGCCACTTCCAGGTTGACTACCCCAACCCACCGATGTGCTACCTTTGCAAGGAATCGGGCCATCCCGCGGTTCTCTGCCCCGACCGTCCGATGACTGGGGAGCTCATGATGTACGGCCACGACATCGAGGGCCTCGGATTCTTCCACATCGAGGTGGAAGACGTCCCCCCTCTGTCCCCTTCACTCCTTGTTGTCGTGTCCATCGTGGGGGCCGGGGTTGCCTCGCCTGAGATGATCGAAGCGGAGCTTAACCACCTCTGCCGTCGTGTCTGGGACTGGCAGGTGACCCCGACCTCAGACAGCCCCTTCACCGTGGTCTTCCCCGACGCTCTCAGCCCGGGCCTCTGCACCCGTAGCGACGACATCACCCTCGCCCTCAACAAGCTCGTCGTCAACATCTCTGAGCCCCTATTGGATCCCAAGGCGGTTGCCGTGATGGACACCGCTTGGATTCTCATAGCGGGCCTCCCCGACATCGCCCGCTCCGAGAAGGTGATCCGGAGCATGTCTAAGCTCCTGGGCAAGGTGGTGGTGGTGGACGAGCTCTCTCTCCGCAAGGAGGAGGAGGTCCGCGTCAAGGTCAAGTGTCTGGACTCCTCCCCCCTCCGTGCCATAGTTCGAGTGTTCTTCAACGACCAGGGATTCGACCTCAAGATCTACCCCGAGCCCCACAACCACGTCGGCCGTCCTCGCCACTTCGCTGCAGATCACTTCGGTGGGGGCGGCGCAGACTCCCACGACGATTCCCACTACCGCCGGCCGCGCCCCTCCCGCCACGAGGACCCGGAGGACGACGACGAGCACTCCGGCCGCAGCCGCTCCCCCTCTCGGGACCCCTCTCCTCCCCCGGGGCGGGGAGACTCGGGTGCGGGCCGGTACCGTGGGTTGGCCCTCCCCTCCGAGGCCGCCACCTCCACGCTGCCTGCCCCCTCTCCCTCCTCCTCGGCCGAGTTCAGCGACATCTCCAGCGTCAGCCTCCTCGTCCTCCCGGCATCTTCGCCGCGCTCGCCGTGTGCTCTTCCAGTGGTGGCCACGGACCCCCCTCTCCGACCTCGGCATTTCTGCTGCCTCCGGCCTCGCCATTGTCGGTGCCTCCCCCCCTCGGGTCCCCCCTGTTGGACCCATCTGGGGCGGATGCGCAGCCGCCACCCGCCTCCCCCCCGGCCACCTCCCCGGCCCCTGTGGTCGACGCGCCGGTCCTGGATCCACCGGCCCTGGACCCGCCCTCCCCTCAGGCGGTGTCTGGTGCCCGTCTGATCCCCCCGGCATCTGCTTCCCCGACTCGCCTGTTGCTGGTGACCTCCGGGGAGGTGGTCACCCCCGTCGCCCCTCACCCGCCTCGTTCGGTGTCCTACATCCGTCGGGCTCGGGCCTCGTCGACCCCGGTGACGGCCTCCCGCCGCAGCGCCCGGCTCGACGCGGACCGCCCGGCTGGCCTCCCGGCGCCGTCCATCTCCGAGCGGGCAGAGATCCGGGCTGCGGCCCGGAACCTCGAGACAGGTGCGACCGACATCCCTTCTAGTTCTTCCAGTTGCTCTTTCTCTGCTCTCGAAGCCGTTCCACTTGGCCGCCTTGCCAAGGTGGCCCGTGACTCGGCCATAGTTTTCAGGGGGAGGTTGGCCCCCCTTTGGAGCTGATTGCGGCTATTCAGGCCCGTGAGATTCTCGATGGGAAACTTGCCGAGACACGGGCACGCCTCCTCCGCACCCCGGCACCCTAGCCTTCAGAGTTGCCGGCCGAGGAGATTCGGGGCCGCACTCGCTCTCGCACTGCCACTCTTTGAGCCCGCAGTGCTTCCACCGTCCTGGGGTCAAGCAGCCCCTCCATGGCGGTTTAGATGCACGCCCTTTTCTAGAACATTCGCGGCTTCGGCCATGACGGCCATCGCTGCCAGCTTGTTGAGTACATCCGGGACGAGCACATTGACATCATAGCCATTCAGGAAACCATGCGCACGGACTTTTGCCTCCCCGAGCTTGACGGGCTTAGCTCCCACCTGTTCGCGTGGCATTGGCTCCCTTCTAGTGGGAACAATGGCCACTCAGGTGGCATCCTGTTAGGTGTTAAGGATGCCACCTTTGAGGTGGGAGGTATGGATCGGGGCGAGTTCTTCGTCAGTATGGAGATCTTCGAGCGTGCGCTCAACTTCAAATGGGAGGTCATCATCGTCTACGGACCGACAGATCATAACCGCTCCCCGACATTCCTCGCCGAGCTGCAGCAGAAGGTCTTTGCGTCCTCTCTTCCCGTTGTGGTGGGAAGGGACTTTAACCTCATCCGCTCCCCGGATGAGAAGAATAACGACCGGGTTAATCGCCCCTGGATGCAGTTGTTTAACGATTGCATCGCGGAGCTTGGCCTCCATGAGCTAGAGCGCATGGGGGGCCGGTTCACCTGGACTAACCGCCAGGCGAACCCGACACAGTCTGTCCTGGACCGCGTCTTAGTTTCCCCGGACTGGGAGCATCGATGCCCCCTGGCCTCAGTTCAGGCTATTACCAGGATCGGATCTGACCATGTCCCCCTCCTCCTCTCCACGACGGATGAACGCCCCCCCATTCCCCCCCGGTTTTGGTTCGAGGCATACTGGCTCAACCAAGCCGGGTTCCGCGAGGCGGTTGCGGCCAAGTGGGCCGCCGCGCGCGTCTC